GGGGTTAGCGGTAGCGATGATTGGCTAGCCGGGGAGTAACGCCCCTGATCACTTAATGAGAGAGGAGAGAGTATTGAAGTGACGTGTAACACCAGAGGATATTGGTCTTCCTGATTGAACTTGCACTGAGCTACATTAGTGCACAGTGGAAAGCCCTATTTGACTACTGTTGTAATCCATATTATGGCAAGAACCACTCGACTCAGTAAAGAGAAACGACCGTCCATCATCACTTTAAGAAATGAAGGCCAGACGATCTAGACAGTGGAAATCTGTGCTTTGGTCTGATGAGTCCAAATTGAGATTTTTGGTTCCAACCTCTGTGTCTTTGTGAGACGCAGAGAAGGTGAGCGGATGGTTTCTGCATGTGTGGTTCCCACCTTGAAGCATGGAGGAGGAAGTGTGATGGTGAAGCATGGAGGAAGAAGTGTGAGGGTGGGGGGGCTTTGCTGGTGTCACTGTTGGTGATTTATTCAGAATTCAAGGCACACATAACCTGCATGGCTACCACAGCATTCTGCAGTAGCCAGCAAAGTATAAATCATATCTGGATTTTTTAAACACTTTTTTGTTTACTAGATAATTCCATGTGTTCTTTTATAGTTTTGATGTATTCATAAATCTATGTAGAAGAAAAAAAGAAAAAATACTTTGAATGAGAAGGTGTGTCCAAACATTTGACTGGAAGTGTATATTTGCCACAGAACATACTTTCTACAATATATTGAAATCCAATGGAAAAATCCCATTGCATTTTGTCGAGGTAGCCCTTTGCGATGCTAACTTCCGGATTAGCCTACAGAAATACGTTATCACTGCACCACTCTATTTTGACCACCTGTCCTATAAGCAATTCGCTTACATTTGGCATTTTTTTTTTTTTAGAAGGCTTCATTTATTCATTTAAAGGATTTAGTTTTTTCGTGACAGAAGCAATTCTGGTACTATCTGGCCTCACTCAAATCAAGCTAATATCAACGGCAGCCATGCTACTAACTATATCGGCAACAAGAAGTTGTCTTTGTTAAAGCACGTTTTGTAACATGAACTATACTGATGGATAAACCTAAAATGTATTGCACACCATGTATGTTGCCAATACCATTTATATTAACACATGTCATTGATGTGTTTTGAAGAGGTTTGCAGCAGCAGCAGTCAGCAGCAGCAGCAGCAGCAGCAGCAGCAGCAGCAGCAGCACAGCGGCAGCAGCAGCAGCAGAAAGGCCACAAGAGGAAAGAAAGGAGTTTATCTAGAAATAGGAATTTATCCAAACCTTGAGAGCTTCCTGTGAAAGAGAGAGGAGAGTGGACACGGAAATGGGGGGTGTTAGTAACAACATCAAGGATGACTGATAACAGAGTAAAAAGGATAACAAAATAAATAAATGAATAGTGAGCTAGATGGCTTTTGCCCTACTGTGGTTGCTGAAAAGTGTTCCCTGAATGATTCCCTGATCATTTTTCTTTTTGCTAGGCAGTCAGAGGGCTGCAGGCTAGTCAAATTCATTTGGGAGGAAAGACAAAAGTTGTTTAAGCAAACTTTTTCTAGAGAACATTAATGCAGACTTTGACAGATTTGCTCAAAATCTATTAATGTAAAACCTGGACTACCTGGAGCAGAATGCCACAGACAGATGATCCAATAATAAAACCATACAAAAAATCACTTCATGTTTTGAAAAACTAAAAAGGATTGGGAATATTAATTCACATATCTGTAACTTCTTAAAAACCCACCCTTTTACTTTTTGTGTTATGGTTTCATTGTGGCATTTCAGAACTTTAATCTTGAATATTATAGGGCAGGGGTCAGCAAGTAAGTTTGGCCTTGGGCCAAAACATTTCTGAGCCACTAGATGGGGGGCCAGAACATAATCAAAGGCTAATTTAAGTAATTGATTGTTAAAATCGCTGCAGTTATTATCCAGTGGAAAGTCCTTACCTACTGGCCTTAAATCAAAGTGGTTGATTATTTTTGGCTTGGCAGTGTAGTTTTACACACCGTCTTATTTGACTTTCTCAGGACTGTAAACAGTTTTTTGGGGGCAGACCCCCACAAAGAAAAAAATATACACAAGGTCATCATCTTAACAGTTTATTATGCTCATCGAGTCATCCGTGAGCAGAGCATTAAGTTGGCATGCCTATAACAGCTGAATGCAGCGATTACCATCTTGTTCAGCAAAACGCCTCACAAACTTATTTATCCAAAGCTTTAGTGCGTTTTGATTCAATGCTGAGTACAGCCAAACTTGACTTTCTTCTCTGTCACCGTCCCATTCAAATGAAATCGCCGCCAATCACATTTCCATGCTCGCACGAGGGCCGGGGGAGGGGTTACAAGGATCGAGTCTTGTGCTGCATTCACTTGCACTCGGACATTAGGGATTTTCTCTCATAAATGTCTGATGAGCCAAAACTTTTCTTTCAAAACAAAGCTAATTTTCCGGGCCAAATATTATTGCAGGCGGACCAACAATGGCCCGTGGGCCACCTGTTGCCGACCCATGTTATAGGGGAACCATCTTCAAATGTGTCCTAATTTGTATTGCATACAGTAAAAACATATGTTTAGTGCAGCAGAAGTGGTTCTACATACATGTTTAGCTCATCTCTTCCTTTTCTATGTTATGGTATGTGGGCCCCACTCACCTCCTCATCTTCAAACCCTGTCAGGTCCCACTCATAGTTCAGTCTCATCTGCCTCCTCTTCCAATGCTCCATGAACATGGCAGCTGAACCAGACATAACATAATTAGTTAAATAAACACAGGAACTCAGACACAGCAATTAATAACACTTAAAATATACCTCAAATTAAAACCTTGGTAAGTGTGCGACTATGTGCATTAATCAGCAGTGGTGATAGCACTTTAGCTATTGGTCTGACGAAGATTTCATCTTAAATTAAGGCCAATATTTCTGGAGCTTCAGAAAGCAGTACTGTGGATATCCTTGTTGAGATTTCCTCCACATCCGCCAGCTATAGTTTACAATCTGATCTGCAACTTTGATGTCATGGGACGACATAACGACATGTTACATCAAGTTGTTTCACAGGTATCCAGTTCACACGGCATTCCATTTGTGGCCAATGCGGCAGTCTCACCAATGTTCCTCTCCAAATGGGTTGTTTACCTGCATGCAACTAAAGCATGCTCAATGGTGGTACTCCAATATCAAACGTAAACCACACCAAAATCTTGGGATTATGTGTCAAGACCATGTAGATCAGTAGTTCTCAACTGGTGGGTCGTGACCCAAAAGTGGGTCGCGGACCCGTTTCGAGTGGGTCGCGGATGTGTGAGTGAAGAACAAAAAGTCGTAGTTACAAAAGGTTTTGGTTTTCAGATTTTTGGGGGAAAAAGTCAAACTTTTCTTTTGAAGGTCCGATTTTCTAACGCTGTGCATGCAGTCGGCGTTGGACTGGAAGTACCGGAGACCATAAACNTTTCACAACTGTTTTTCATTTATTCTCTCTTGCTGTCCATCTCATAATGTATTATAATTCTTCTGAATGATATTCCTATTGACAGCTAGTTTCTATGTGAACATTATGAGATGGACAGCAAGAGAGAATAAATGAAAAACAGTTGTGAAATACTATATGAACAAAACAAGAATACTAGTTTAAAAGGGGAGTGATTTAGTAAAATATAAAGAAAAAGTAAAATCTGTTTACAGTTCTGTTTCATATGGATGTTGAGAAATGTATCCATAGATCTCTTAATTTTGCTCTCAAAGTGCACCAGATTGATGCTTTTAACTTCATTATTTAAAAAAAAATCTTCCCGGGGGAGCATGCCCCCGGACCCCCCTAGCGGAGATGAGGACCCCCCCTAGAGGATGTTAGGTCCACGGTGCTTACATGCTTATTTATACAATATGTGTGACAATGCTAACATCATAAGACAAAAGTTGGTTCCGTGTTGTGTGTAGTGAGAACGCGCTAGAGTGAGGGGGGCCCCCAAGCCAAAGCTCGCTTAGGGCCCCCAAAAGTCTAGGGCCGGCCCTGGCAACTACTTATCACCACCACCAGTGTCTAGACCCCGGGGGTTCATCGGAGCAGTTTTCCCTTCCTGAATGATCATCCTGCAAACCGGGGCCTAATTGCCAAACATCATTCTATTCACTTGTTGTAATCCGTCAATCACTATTCCTTCATATTATGTGTCCTTGTAATAAACATGTATTTTCATTACATCACGTCTCTCCTGATTGAAACCAGGGCTGCCCCTGGCCAACGTGTGGCCCCACGCATGTGTTGTGAGCGTTGACGGGGGGGTGCTAGTGGAGCACGCTCGTGAACTGTTAGTTCGCCGGAGCCTCGCAACGGGGTAACTGCGGAGCTCCTAATTGCGGCACATTTGTGCATTAGATGAATTCCGCCGCATTTGCGCATAAGATGAGGCCCCACGCAGTCTGCGTGATCTGCGTGTAGGGAGGGGCGGATAACCCTACCTCTGCACAACAAAACTGATTGTCTCAAACACATCCAGAAGGCAAGTCATTCCACAAATTGACTCTTGACAAGGCACACGTGTTAATTGAAAACCTTTCCAGGTGATGACCTCATGAAAATGACAGAGAGAAGCCAAGAGTGTGCAAAGCTGTCATCAAGGCAAAAGGGGGCTACTCTGAAGAATCTAAAATATAAATCATATTCTGGATTTTTTTTAACACTTTTTTGTTAACTACATAATTCCGTATGTGTTCTTTCATAGTTTAAATGTCTTCAGTATTAATCTACAAAGTAGAACAAAATTCTAATAAACAAAAACCATTGAATGAGAAGGTGTGTCCAAACTTTTGACTGGTACTGTACATTTATGATATTTAACACATGTTGTTCAGTAGGACATTCTCCACATATTAACACCACTTTGTGATTTTTGAAGCCTAAATACAATCGCCAGAAGTAAAAAGTTAGTGCTAGGTTATTAACAAACAAAATCATGGTCACATGGCTGCGCATCACCACCACTAAGTTAGGCGGACTCGTGTCGGCGTAATGATGTTTAGTAGTCTAATTTAGACACTTGTTAGCAACTAAATGTCATGACGACAAACATTAGCCGCCTTTAGCCTGGTGGTGGTGACCAGAAGTCATGCTGATGTAGCTTGTTTATAGCCTTACCTTAGCTATTTAGTTGTAGCAATTTTACTTTAACATTAAATATTAATAGCTAAGTGGTTGTATATCGCGCTACAGAGGTGACAGATCAAATCGGAGAAAGAATTACTTAATGTTAGCTTAATATCAAT